AAGTCTTTGTTTGACTATGGTTGCAAATATCAAAAAATGTCTATATGTGACACGGCACCAGAGTTAAGTCAGGGTTTTTCAAAATGCTGACACGCCGAGCTCAAAAGGTTCGCCATCACTGCCCTAGACCCTGGGTAGACCAGTAGTGCAGGTAATAATGACCCATTGGTCTTTTAGGCCCTGGATAGAACAGACGTCAGAGACGGTGGTCTCCTGACAATCTTGGTCTGACTGGATGAGCCGGGGGTCCAGGTTTCTGTCGATACAAGGTCCACGTACTAAAGACCCCCCCCCCCATCAAGACTGCTAACCAGGGGCCACGCAGTGGCTCTGCGGGCTTCTATAGCCCAGAGCCCGCCCTCCCCTGATCATGGTCCAGTGTTAATGGTGGCCACAACTCAAGTGGGGACGCCGGTGCCCCTCCCTGTGCCGTCAGTGTTTGCTGTGCCACTTCTCCCTGTGCCCGCCTGTTATTTATTTATTTATTATCATGTGCCGGTGATGGTGGGGGTGGGGGCTGGGCCTTCCCTGCCATCTCCACCCCTGTTGTGACTAGTCCTCCCGGACTTAATAAAGTGCGAGTGGGAGTGTCTCTGTGGGTTCATGTCTGCCCGAGGCGGGCCGAGAGGCAGAGCCCCTGGCTGAGCCTCATCTCCCCAAAACGCCCCCACGGCCTTCCCGGCATGAAGTGGGCTGTCCCAGCTCCAGGGTGTTCTCTGCCTAGTGCCTAAGCAGTAGGGCTCATCCCTCTCTGAGTCCTTATGTAGGAATTTGTTTCAGTCCCTCAGAAACCCAGCAAGCTTGTAACACGCGTCCCCTCTTAGGAAGGTCTTGGGGATGGCGGTTGGAATGCAATGCTAACTTTCACAAGAGCGCACGTCTGGAAAGGAGATCAGCTGAGGCAGGGTTTGAATTTGTAGCTGACTCCAGAAGGCTGCAGCCCCCTCTTGGTAGAGACTGAGGGTCCCCACCCTCTGGGTGCTGGGGTGAGATACTGGGGCACCCCCCTTCAGGCATCCGGGGTGCTGCTGTGCCTGTGCCCTGCTACCCTGAGCCCCTCCAGGCCTCCCAGCGCCTCCTGTAGAGTGGCTGCCCAGCTCTGAGCTGGCCACAGAGCAGCCCGAAATGGCCTACGGATGCCAAGCTGGGAGATGCCGTCCGTGTCTGTTCAAGGCCAGGCCGTCACCGACAAAGTCAGCAGATGGTACTTGCGGAGACTTGAGGCTGCGACAGAAACTCAGCTCACCCGGCTAAGGCGTGAGGGGGTCTATGGCCGCCCCCATGAGACGATCCAGCACGCTCCGGTGTCTGCCTCGGCTGTGCTGCCTCCCAGACAGTGGTACCTCTCCCCACCAACATCCCAGGGCAGACTCATTGGTCTGGCTTGGGTCCCCTGCCCGTCTCAGCCTGTGCCCAAGGGGATGGAGCACAGATGCTGACCAGCCCGAGTCATGTGCCCCCCGGAGGAGGGCAGTACTGGCCTCCCTGGCCTCACTCCGGACCAAGAGCCACCCCCCACCTTCCTGGTTTCCTTCGGGGGAGCACTTGGTGGCATGTGAGTCAGATGGGGTGGGCATCCCCGTCCCAGGTAGTGCATCTCTGTTGTTTAAAGCTTGAGTCTAAGCTCATCATGGTTACTTGGTTCCCCTTCGCCAGTGAGTGGGTTAGCCATGGACCTGTGATGCACTTCTTGTTTTTGTTGTGTTTGTCGTTTTTCTGTTTTGTTTTGTTTTGTTTTTTTGTGGTGTACTTCTGACCAATAAGACATGAGGGGAGTTTCTAGAAATGTTTACCTCACTTTTGAAGAAGGTCACGGAGCAGGGACTCACTCTTCTGGCTTTGGGTATAGAAGCTGCTGCAGCCGTTCTGTGATCATGAGGTGTGACCCAACATACTTCTCTACTGTGTGACTGTGGAGCAAAAAGATGGAAAGAACTTGCTGGGGTTGTTCGACCTTTAATTTTTTTTTTTAATATATATTTTTTACAGAGAGGAAGGGAGAGGGATAGAGAGTCAGAAACATTGATGAGAGAGAAACATCGATCAGCTGCCTCCCGCACACTCCCCACTGGGGACGTGCCCGCAACCAAGGTACATGCCCTTGACCGGAATCGAACTCGGGACCCCTGAGTCCGCAGGCCGACGCTCCATCCACTGAGCCAAACCGGTCAGGGCTCAACCTTTAATTTTAAAAAGTTTCAAATCAACAGAAAAAAGCGCCAGAATGGCACAATGAGCACGCTTCACTTGGATTCCCAGTTGTTGATATTTCAGGAAACTGATGACACCAATTCACAAAATGAACCCTTCGGGCTGTTCCCCTGGTTTCAATAGTTTCCTGGTTTTGCCTCCCATCCTCCCCCCAGGTGACTACTTTCTTGGTGACCAGATGCCTTAGAGCAGGGGTGGGGAACGTCCAGTCCAGGGGCCAAATAAGGCCCGAGAAAACATTTGGTCTGGCCCTGCCAAGGCATTAGGGGTGAGTTAATGAAATGTTTAACCAAATATAGCAGGCTAATTTTTAAGTTGATGATTTTGTATGGCCCACAAATACTGTTATAAATATCCAAATGACCCCTGGAAGAAAAAAGGTTCCCCACCCCTGTCCTAGAGGTCCTTTCTGTTGGCCCTGAGTAATTTTTCCCTTTGGGGGTGACTTTGAGGCTAGTGGCCCAAATTCAGATTCTGAAATCAAGATTCCACCCACCACTCAATTTCATTTTAGCTGTTACCAATAACCATAACCAAGGGACTATTTTGTTTGTTTTTTTGTGGGTTTCTTTTTCCTATTTCCTTTTTTCCTTTTTTAAAAAATATTTTATTGAATTTTTTAGAGAGAGGAAGGGAGAGAGAGATAGAAACATCAATAATTAGAGAGAATCATTCATCAGCTGTCTGCACATCTCCTACTGGGGATGTGCCCTCTACCAAGGTACATGCCCTTGACCGGAATCGAACCTGGGACCTTTCAGTCTGCAGGCCTATGCTCTATCTACTGAGCCACACAGGTCAGGGCTCTGTTTCCTTAAGCATCCAGTAAACCGGCTCCCCGAGAGTTCGAGTCATCTCTAAATCCCACTGGTAACGTTCACAGCACCTGGCGCACAGCTCCTGGCCCGCACCATGGTGACTGAGGACGTGGCACCCAGGAGTCAAGGGTTCCTCATGCCCACCCTTTCTTCTGTTCCCTTCCCAAACCACGTTTCCATGAGCCAGGGCCGTCCTAGCAAATCCCACTTCTCTGACGCCAACTGAAAGGGAAAACGGTGCCCTCTACCCACAGAATGCTTCTGGCACCAGATGTGTGGGTTTTCGACATCAAGCAATTCTCTAGTTTTCTTTGGACACCAACGGGGTGTCCTACAGCTTAATTCAATTCTGACACAACCCAGAGTGTGTGCAGAATCCACGGGCTAAGGGGGCCGTCCCACCAGACTTGCCCACTTCCGATGCCAGTCACAAGTCCCAGGTTGTCACCTGTCCTTCTGACCAACTGGCTATACGTCGGGCGTTCCCACGATCCCTTTCTCAGGTTGGATATTTTGCCATAATGCAGTGG